TCTTCACGACCAACTCCTTCACCCTCTTTCTACTTTCAACATACTCCTTCCATCCTGCATCTGTTTTCCCTGCCGCATATTTTGCGTGTGACTCTCTACGTACTTGAATTGCTTGCTTGATTTCTTCGTCCCACCACTTCACTGCTCTCTTACAAACTATCAACTTTCTACCTAGAACTCTACTTGCTGTTGTGTTTACCAGCTCTTCCCACCATTCTATGATTCTAGACCCGGCCTGGTCCCGGCCTTCGGCATCCTTCGGTGTACCCATTGCCTCTATCAACTCCGAGAGTTTCTTGTCGTTTATAGCCATCTCTTCTTGGAACTCTACCCCCGTTTCTTCTACTTCTAGCTTATCTATTCTCCATTTGTACATTTTCCTGCGTCGCCTACTCTGTATGACTCTCGTCTGTTGTAGGGCTGTCCACACCAACGCGTGGTCTGTAGTGCCTACATCCGTTGTGCATACTCGTACTTCCGTCTCTTTCCCCCCATTCTCTCGGAGGGGGGGGGGTGTACTCATAGTCGTGCATGCCGTAGTCGTTAGACCATTGACCTCGCATCCCTACAAAGCCGGGACGGAGCACGCCGGGTTCTCACCGGACCAGGCTCTCACATCACCAAGCGCGAAGCGCCGTGAGGTATTCGGCGAGTCGCATGAAGGGTGCGCTGCATCCTGCTAAGGGTGTTCTGCATCTTGTGCTTACTTCCTTGCGTACGGATGACAGCTGCGTATGACTTAATTTATTTTCTGGTGCTTTCACTTCCAGAGACAGTTGTAAGCGCTGTATAACTGCCTCGAGGATGTTTGACCAATTTAACACAACGTGCGATCTTCCCCTTTGCGCGGAGTGAGGGTTCTCCACCCCGCACAACATAATCTACTCGACAACCATTCATGGGTACCGCAAAAAAAAGCAAAGGCAAAAAAAAATCGGTAACCTGGTTGCCGAGTTCACGAAGTGAATTGGCTTGTTTTACAACATCGCTGCCAAGCGACGAAAACCCAACCCCGATGGCAAACACCGGGGGGGCCGGAGGGGGGGGGGGGGGGGGGTTCAAAACCTTTGGTTTATTTTTTACATTTCATTTAAAAGTTTTTCATTTTTTACGGTCTTTAAGTAACCATTCTTTTTTTTTTCAAACCACGGTTTAAGGCTTCTAATAAAAAAAAACTTTCCCATTTTTTCCCAAAAGAACCTTTTCCTTTTTTTTTTTTGCCACAACAAAAAAAATCATCCCTTTTTTTTTAATAAATTTTATCCCCATTGTTAACGGCAAAAAAAAAAAAAAAGCTTTCCCCTTTACTTTAAAAAATTTTTTTTTTTTTTTTTAAAACTAATAAAGCCCCAATCCAACAATTCAAACTTTCACCATTTTTTTTTTTTTATTCCTGAAACCCTCTACAAAACCCATAACCGTTTTATTTCCCCCCCCCCCCCCAAACATGAAGATTCCTTTTAGGCGTTTACC